TGTTTAGACTGGATTTGGCATTTTTATCCACCTATTGAATCCTTCCCAAGGACCTGGGATAAGCAGATGTTGTTTGATGGTGTTAAAGGTATTGTCACAGGATATAAGCTGTTCCAAGTAAAACTGCCTTTTGCAATTGACTGATGATTTTATCAATGCCATTGGTGTTCAAGTGGTGCTCCAGATGTTCTGAGATTGCATCCAAGGTGCTTACTATTACTACTACTGCTACTACAGTCTCCTGCTTTCCAGGCCGGCACCTTAAATGTATCTCTTAATGATACATTTCCCATTTGGAGGGATGGAGGGAGAGAAAACTTCCACAACCTATACAACCTCTTGGATTTCTCATTTCTGCCGCTAGGGCGAGGAGAAGAGTTAAAACCCGCCAAGCAACTTAGACTCTAATTTGACTACTCTATGGTCCCCGCCGAAATGCACGCTGGGTGTTGTAGTTCTGCGCTCTGAGGCGGCCAGGCCAGATCCGTTTAGCCGGCTGTTAAGCGACCCGCGTTCCACTCGCCTCGCTGAAGCGACGATGGCGGCTGCTGCGTCGCCGGGTTTGGGAGAGCGCTGGTGGGCCGAGCTGCCTCACCATGCTGTGCTGTGTCGCCTGAGAGAGCAGGCCGCTGAAGCCGGGCCGGAGGCAGAGCAAGCCAGGCCAGTCCTCCCGCAGGACCTGATGTTTGGCATCGGCGGGGAGCTCTTCCTGTGGGACCGGGAACGCGCCGCCTTTTGCGTCCTCAGCCTGAGGCATCTTGGCGACGACGCCGACAGCCTGGGCTCGTACCAGGTGGGGCGTTTCTTGGTCGGGTCCTCTGGTTCTTAGTGGGAAGGCCAGGTCACGGAGGCTCCCTGATATCGATGATGATGATCGTAATAATTGCATGCTGAAGAGAAAGCCCTAGGCACGGTTTCTCCTGTGCAAGCCCGTTCTCCTGGAAGGATGGTTCCAGTTTCATTTCCATCTGGAAATGTTACTTGCTCCTCTGTTTTAAAAGGAAAAAAAAACCCTGCATATTTAGAGCAGCAGGTCAAGAAGAGTTCCAGCTTCACCTTGCTGAAATGCTAGCTTTTTGCTTGTGGAGACAATTCATATCCCTTGCCTAGGAAGGAACATGTCTATGAACTTTATGCATCACATGTGTGGAAGGAACTCCTTGTCCCTCCCTCCCTTAGGCTGTGTTTGCATCATGCATAGAACCATAGGCATGGGCAACCACATTTTTGTCCCAGGGTGATGCACTGTGTGTTTTGGTCGTTCAGTGTGTGTGGAGTCCACAAATTGAGTTGTGTCAGAAGAGTTCAGTTTTCCATGGAAAAGTGAGGGTGTCCAGCGAAGAAAGTGATTGTATAGAAGTGCAAGTGGCCTCTGTAGGAGACAGCAAGACTGCAACTGTTCTTGAGTTCCTATTTGGCACCAAACAAAGTTAATGTTCCTATCACAGATAACATTAAATGTAATTTTATATCTGTGCTTGCAGTTAGCTTTGAATTGATTTCTAGCTTTTAATTAATGTGACTTATTTGGATGCATATTCTTGTAATGTGAATTCTGTCATGGATTGTTTTTTCCAATAATTGCCCTTCTCTTGAACTTTGTTATGAGATGACTCATAAATGAGATGAAAAGAAATATTGATTATCTGGTAGTTAGGTTGGTTGAAGATGTATGGAAAAGCATTTGGTTATGTGAATGCTTGGACTTGCCTGTAGTGTGGAGCAATATAGTCTCCAAACAGTCTTGCAATTTCTGTGAGGTTTTTCCCTCTCGCTATTTCTTGCTCTCATCTCACGTAAATTGGCAAGGCAGAAGAAATGCAATTTGGTTTTTTCTAAGCAGGGCACCCAAGAGGTACATAAATAGAGAAAGTATAAAGCTTCATTGACAAACTGGTCTTCTGAACCAGGAATTGCTTTCCACAGTGTCCAAAGGCTATATTTTTCATACAGCTGCTTCAGTTGGAAGAGTGAACTGTTCCTTTTGCCTATGGTTGCCACCTTCTCAGTCACCTATTGTAGTTGTGAATCTAGTTGCACATAGATCTTTAAACATTGGTAGTTACTAGTAATATTATGACTGAAAAGCTGTATGTGCTGCCTTTTGTGTGAACACAGCCATTATGGTTTGTAGGTTGTGGTTCATGGCTTTGCATGTTGTGAAAACATACCCAATTTAAGTTTATTCAACAGGTCATGGTTAAGCAAACCAGGGCTTAGCATAGTGTATCAGCCCTTAGGCTAAGGGATTGAAATGCCTCAAACGAACTAATCGAATCTATTTTGGTTTTCAGATTCTTCTCTGCATAAATTCACCCTTTTTTGAAGTGTATCAAACCGCATTGAGTCCTCTGCAACAGCATGTGGCTCTAATAGGAACAAAAGGATTAATGGTGTTGGAGTTACCTAAACGTTGGGGGAAAAATTCTGAATTTGAAGGTGGAAGATCTACCATTAATTGTAGGTATGTAGACTTTCCATTCCTATTGATAATCAGCTTTAGAACCAGCTAAGGTTGGTTTACCATTTCTCTTTTTCTATCATGTTGGGTGTGTCAAGACAATTTTGGGTTTGTCGTGGTGCCACTGGAGAGCAGTTTGTTTGCTGATGTTCTCATGTGCAATATTTAAAAGGACCCTTTTCAGTTATGCAGGTTCCATCAATAGCACCCCCAGAATGGGGATCAAACTGACAAGACTTGAGATGCAGCAGTGTAATCCACACCCCTCCCAACATCACAAACATATACAAAGGGGCAGGGCTTGGATTGTGTTGTGGCCACTGCCAACTTGCCTGTTTTGACTCCCCCTGTGGACATTGCTGGATTGCATTATGAAACGCAATCTTTCATACTGCTTCAAACAGGTGACTGAGTTGTAGTAATGAAGATTACTGTTGCTAGACTTGACCTAAAAAGGATATTTTATTCTGGATATTTCAGGCTCTGGGAACAGTATATCTTATTTGTGCTATATTTGCCTTGCTTTGTCTGGATCATCACAGGCAGCTTTGCTTTGGAAATGTTTCATCGTTTCAGTTATATGTATTTAAAGTATGAAGGTGGGTGCTAAAGATTTCAATGAAAAAGCAGGTGTGCAGAAAGATTTGAATAAAACTGGTATCATGAAGGTGTTCTGGGAAGCAGTTTAGAACTTAAGATGGGGCAAGAGATTGAGGTTGGGGGCAGGATTTTTAATAGGGGGTTAACTGGGAAGCCAGTCAGGAAAATATCAGGCCATCTTAGTTCCATGTCTCTGAGAGCAGACTGGTCTGCAAAAGTCAGTGGATGAACTTTTTCATAGCATAAACATGACCATAAGCACATAAGCTGCTGGTTAAAGCACTGCAACAGATGAATGAATGATCAACCTTTTTGTGGCTGAAATGCAGAATCTTTGCTTTTGGAAACTTGTTTTCCAGCACCATACCTATTGCTGAAAGGTTCTTCACCAGTTCAACGTCCCTGACCCTGAAGCATGCTGCTTGGTACCCCAGTGAGACTCTGGAACCCCATATTGTGCTATTAACATCTGACAACACAATAAGGTAACCTTTTCCTGCTCTGAATGGATTGTATTTAAGAGATACAAAGAAACGTAACTTTTCTTAAAGTTGCATCTTAATAAGGCCATTCCTGTTTTCGTATGAATACTTCTGCTGTTGCAAAAAAATCCAAACAAGTAATATGGAAAATTATTGAAATGTACACTTACAGATATTCAGTCTGTAGAAATAATCATGTGGGATTTTTTTAAAAAAACCTTCCTTTGTTTAATAGGATTTATAGTTTGAGTTCACCCCAGACGCCTGTGAAAGTGATAACTCTTTCAGATGCTGATGAGGAAACATTGAGACTTAATAAGGGGTAAGACTGAATCTTCCTTCTCTCCAGGCATGCTCAGCTATTGTTTGTTTGTCTGGAAACTGGATCTGTGTTTAGAGTCACTGCAAACTGAAGTCTCTGCCTGCCTTTTCTGCTTCAGGAGAACATATACAGCGTTGATAGGAGAGACTGCAGTGGCATTTGACTTTGGACCTCTGGCAGCAGTTCCTAAGAACATAACTGGACAGAGAGAGAAAGGGGAAGTACTGGCATATCCTCTGTATATCCTGTATGAAAATGGAGAGACTTTTCTGATCTACATTAGTCTCTTGCACAGGTAAAGACCTCAGTAAGATAGTTTGCCTGGTGACATTTTTAAAAATGTATCTGCACTAGAGAGTACTTGATCAAATGTACAGATAATAGGAGGTTATAAAGACACTGACTGAAAAATAATATTGTTTTAAAAGGCTGAACGGAAATCAACTGTTTCTAAACAACAGCCTTTATCTTCTGCCATTGGTACTGTGCCTCAGAAAGTTTTGAGTTATCTGATGCTGGCAGGGTTTTGCATTTGCTTCCCAAATATTCTCCCATTATGCCAGGATCTGGGGCACTACAGTGAAACTGATGAAGAGTCAAGAAAGAGCAGACAAAGCCTTTGCATCCAATGCAAAGCAAATACATGGAGGACGTTTCATGGTTATGAATAAGGCACCAATAGTAGGATGCCTAGAAAGGCATCCAATGTCTATGGTTTCTTGGCATAACGGTTGATTACATTTGTTTCTTTTAAGAAGGTAGCATCTACGTATTCTCCAATCTGCCCCTAGCAGTGCTTAGAACTAAGTCACTTCTCTGAAGTGTGGTTCAAGTGATTGCTTCCACGGGTGTAATTTCATTAGATTTTTACAAAATATAAGAATTTTTTTTGTTTATTCTCAAGATAAATATGCCAGACCATGGAACTTTCTTAGCTCCTGGTAGCTCAGGTAACTCAATTTTTACAGCAAACAGTAAAAAGTAAGATAAACAACTTTCTTGTTTCAAGCAGTCTGGTTTATTTGGCAGAGCAGTGATGATAAAAGTTAACGCTATTCTTAAACAGCTTCTCACTCATTTTGAAATGATTCTTATTCTAGCACCAGTAACCTTGGCAAGCTGCTGGGCCCATTGCTGATGTATCCTGCAGCTGAGGACAATTATGGCTATGATGCTTGTGCAGTTCTCTGTGTTCCATGTATTCCTAACATCCTAGTGATTGCTACCGAATCAGGAATGCTTTATCACTGTGTGGTACTAGAGGGAGAAGAAGATGATGAACAGATGGTATGTATGTTTCTGTTTGCCTTACGTTCTGCATGCAGGAAGCTCTAACATTTTCCAGATGAAAGGATCAAATTGTATTGGAACAGATCCATGCCTAAGATCCTGAAAAACAGTTTTTTCCCCAAAACAATCTGGGCTAGAGGGTGAAATCGCCTGAGTATAAAATCCCTTTAAACGTTTAAGTATATTTTTAGGCGTCTGACTGTGCAAGAAATCATTTGCTGTATTTCCAGATTTCTTATAAAGATGTTGCATACTAATCTGAGGTAAAATAAACAGTGTAGTGCTACAGTATAACCTTATAGCAGTGGTGAGTAACCCATAGGTTGCATGTTGCTCCCTAGCCCTTTACGTTTGCACTGCAGCAATTCAGTAATAAAATGGATGACTTTCAGTTTCATAGTTCTGATCCCATACAGATACTTGGGCATCTTTCAGAGAGGTATTGGAATAATCTGCCTCTGGGAACCCTCCTGTGGTCGTCATCTTCCTTAATCTGTTTACCCCAGGTTTAAAGAATATGCTAAAATCTCTGGTTCTGCCCCTTCTGGTGACATCACACAGAAGATTAGGAGGCTGAGAAGCAGCCTCTGACTTCCCCAGTGTTCTCCATTCTTGCCTTACAATCACAATGCTGTGCAGAACGAACATTTCAAAACACGTGATCCCTACTGGAGAAATATGTTTCACCCTCACCATTCAATAGGCTGCTGGAAAGGGAAGAATGCACCCTTGTCAGGCATTTAAGCTGATCGATTACTGATTGAAGGTAGACTGAGTGCCACTTCGTGCACTTCCATTCCACCTCCATGGAATAATGCTTCTAGATGAATTCAACTCGATGTGTCTCAAGGGATCATGAGCTGAAAATGTTAATAGAATCATTGCCATGTTCCCTGTAGTCTGTCAAGTCTTGGGATTCCAGAACTGACCTCATTCCATCACTCTATGTGTTTGAGTGTGTTGAACTGGAGCTTGCCCTGAGACTGGCCTCCAGAGAAGGGGAAGAACCTATGGAGTCAGATTTCTCCTGTCCAATTAAATTGCACAGAGGTAAGAACACAAGTCATTACTTCTCTTACTTTTGTTTTGCTCTCTTTCACCTTGTCCATTTAATATCTGATAAATCTGCCTTTTAGGGCATATAAGAAAATAATGTAATATTTTTTTAAATACACATAAAATACACGTACAGAAAGCTCTAGCATTGTACCTGGAGCACCGAAGTTTGGAATCCCTGCTTAATCCTAATGTTGTTTGGGTGACTGGATCTTCCACTGTCTTTCAGCCTAATCTACCTTATAGAACTATTGTGAGGGTAAAATGGAAGAAGGAGAGTTGCCAGTGTGACCTGAAATGGTATTCCTGTACCACTTATTTAAAGCAGGATCAGTTGAACGCAGTAGATCTTTTGAGTAGACATGCACAGCCTTGCACTATGAGTCACTGAAAGAAATGCAGTATGTAAAGATATAATGCAGATCATCATGTAGATACATGCTTTATGCTTTGAGCAGAAACAAGAGAAGCAAATTGTTTTCTATTCTAATTATATCATTTTGTTAGATGATTTCTAATTGTTTTGTTAGATGATAGAAAATTGTTTATGTAAAGCCCTTGTCTTATTTTTCAAGTTGTTTTTACTATACAGTCATGAGCAGCTGAAATAAGTGTTGGAAGATGATGGAACTGCTTCATATAAGAAACCTGGTAGATTTCCATTTTTCAAGTTGTTCTCATATCACATGCATGTGTGAAATCTGTCTTTTGTCAGTTTGGGTCATCCCATTAACACAAACCTTACGTATATTTTCAGATCCCAAATGTCCCTCTCGCTACCACTGCACACATGATGCTGGTGTACATAGTATTGGCCTCCCCTGGATCAACAAACTACACAAATTCCTTGGTTCTGGTGAGTTACTCAGTCCTCCTGGCTTGTAATTCTGTTTTTTTTAAAAAACAACACACACTTAGACTTTCACAATTCCCTTGAGTTTAATATATATTAAAAAGGTAAGATACTAGTGTGTTCATAAGTAGCCTTTTTATTTGGTGGCTTCTGCTCTTTAGAGTGTTCTCCTCCTGATATTCGGGAAGCAACTGCTGCTGTATTTTCTAGGCCTGTATTGGATCCTATTCTTCAGCAGACCTTTCTGTGAGAATGCTATGTGCTAAATGTGTTTTTCACCACTTTTAAAATGCATATTTCATACGTTCTATATATATTTATGAATGCTTTTAAGTTATGTTTAATTTATTGTCATTTTATTTTGCTTTTTTATCTTTGTGTTTCAACACAGCAGTGTGATATAAAAATGTATAAAATGAATAGGCTAGGCAGTTTGTTGTGACATCTGAATCCTGCAAACTGGAATTAGTGTTTCACTTTAAACTGTGGATCAAATCCAGTTTAAAGGAAAGCTGCAGTTTGCCTGAATAAAAAAGTGAGGAATGACCTAAGGCAGGAGGGAGCATAACCATCAGACTCTCAGTTAAGCCATAGTTTAGCTATTTCATGAGAACTGAACCTTTTTATTGTTGATCATATCTGTTAAAAACCCATGCCTCTGGTCCCTAAAAGTGCAATTCTTTAAGAATTAAGAAGTATTTGCCTTTTTTAAAATGGGCCCGAGAGTTGCAAGAAACCAGAGAGATATTTAGAGTTTTCAAGCATGTAATTATTGTTTTCATGGTGTCAAAAGTGCAGTATGTCAATTGTTTAGTAGAATTGTGAGCTTTTCTTAGGAAAAATGAAGATAACCTGTGTCCTATGTGGCACAAATGAATAACTCTCGGCCTATTTTCAGAAGTTCTCTGAAAGCAATCAGTTCAAACGTTTGTCAGATGGCAGAAAAGAATGGAATATGAACAGTTATTGGCTAAAAGTGACACATTGTTTTATATCCTTATCAGTCTGACCCTGCCTGCTATTAAATACCCCAAGGGAATGTGGGTATCCCCTTTATAGAAAAGGGTTTCTTATGCTTGCCTTACAGAGCAAGGTGTACTGTGTGCTTAAATTAGTGGACTTGCTGTTTCAGATGAAGAAGACAAAGACAGTTTGCAAGAACTTGGGGCAGAACAGAAGTGCTTTGTGGAGCATATCCTTTGTACCAAGCCTCTACCATGCAGGTAAGAGCCAGTGCAGCCTCCACCTTTTCTCCAACCAGTGTTCTTCATGCAGCTTATCCTTGGAGACTTTTGCTTGAGAACAGTTACAGATAGCTGTCGTAACATTTGCAACGGTCAAGAGTATGTTGGCTTTGTTGATAATTGTGTAGGAGCCAAGGGAATACAACATGTATTTGAGATTGAGATTGGTTTGGGGGGACTCTTTTTTTGTGTAGGGGGTGAGGTGTGCTGCAAATAAGTAGAGTTGTCTGTTATAGGAAAAATAAAGTTTAAGAGAATTTTGTAGATTGGATCTTTGATTTTATAGATCTAAATGTCATAGTCCCCAACTTTACACTCTTCAGATATATTGGAGTGTAACTCTCATTTTGTCCAACCAGGAAGAGTGACTGTGCTGATTAGGGATGATGAGGGTTGTAGTCATGGCATTGGACCTGGTTATTTGAGGGGCTGCCTGTTTCCAGTTGTTTCTGCCCATCCAGTACAATCAGATAGAGTGGGTGTGCGCTGGCTCCCATCGCTTAAGCAGCAGCATCTCGTGGGACCCAAGAAGCAGGCCTTCTCTGTTATAGCACCTGCCCTCTGGAATGAGATCCCTGATAGCTCCCACCCTGATGACATTCTGGAAGTTTAATAACTGGCTATTCTCCCAGGCTCTGGGGCAGAGTGAAGGTTGAGCCCCTGTTGGGTGGATTTTTTTGGTTATATGCTGTTTCTGGGGGCTTTCATGATTTTTTTTTTGTGTTTTGTATTTTTTTTCTTTTTTAATTCTAATTGTAAGTAGCCCCGAGTTGTTGTGGCCTATAAATTGTATAAATAAATAAATACAGTAGTCAAACATTTGGCTAGGAAAAGCTGTGCTAGAATAAAGGAAGGCAGTAGGTACTTCCAGGACTTGTGAACTGAAGATACCTGGAATTCAGAAGTAGTCACTCAGACCTTTTTAAGAAGCAGGCAGTATACCCAGGTCATACTGCCCATCCCAATTGGAGCTAAATAGCTCCCTCAGTAGAGAGGAAGAAACTTTTACTTTTTAGTCTAAATGTAGTAAACCCAGCTGTTCTTCTGCTGCTAGGACTGCCAGAATGTTTAAAGAGATGTTTTGTTCCTATAGACAACCTGCCGCAATTAGAGGGTTTTGGATTGTCTCAGATATTCTGGGCCCTACAATGGTTTGCATCACCAGGACCTACGAATGCATTACGAGGCCTCTTCTGTAAGTATGAAGCCAATTGTAATCTATGCCAGAGTCATATTTATATTTTTACCTTAAGTTTTCAATGAGTGAAAAGCATTGCTGTTTACAAGTGCAGTTACAGATCATAAATATTAATGTGTTTTTTCTTGGTTTTGCTTAAATTTTAGATCAGTGTTTCTCAACTTTGGCAACTTTAAGATGGGTAGACATGCTGGATAGGGAATCCTGGGAGTTGAAGTCCACCTATCTTCAAGTTGCCAAACACTGTTTTAGATTATGAGGTAACTTGTTCCACAAATCTTATTAAGGTTACCCACAGATTCAAATGCAATATTACCCTGTTTAATCAACCTACTCTTTGCTTCACATTTACAAACCCTCCTCAAGTTACATGTACTGGATTCAGTTTTTGGTTGACAACTAGTTGGGGATCCTGGATTGTCAATTCAAATATTGGACAAAACTGGAGGTAGAGATCCTTAACGTGAATTCATATCTTGGGCGAATTTAATTGCTAAGAGTTATGTGCTTTATTTTTGTTCATGGAGAAATTAAGGTAAAACCTTGCACCTTTTCTATTACTTCTTTGTTTGAAGTATTACTTTGTTACCTTGTCTATCATGTCAAACAGCATGTCAGTTTTCTCCTATACTGTTGTGAGAGGAAACTTTTAGTAGCCTTCTATATTGTTTAATGTTAGTTTTGATTGCATTTGATAAAGCCAGGTTAGCTTCTTGTGACCTG